TCTGCTGGAGTCAAACCGCGAGTAATGGAAAAATAACTCTGACAGTCTCACTGGATTTGCTACACGTAGGATCCAACTGCTGGCTCTTTTAGTATATTATATGAGAGTGTGTAGCATCAAAGTAGAGGTTGGAGTATCGCAGTTTACTTCGAACTGGACCTCGGTCGTTTTGCTAATTATGTGCGAGTGGAGAGTTTTCTGTTTTATGCCTCACAACACTGACGCCATCGCACCGATATGCGCCTGAGAAGTACCACACAAATCAATCTTAGGAAAATAAAGACACATTCCTTTAACAAGGAGTATGAGCACTTTGCTTGATTGCATAATGTTATGCTCACAAGTGGCAGTGTGACTGATGCATTAGTAAAAAACATAAACTCTGACAATTAAAAAAGCCTGTGACCGCAACGAGCGTTGACTGCAGGAGGACCTTCCCTTACATGAAGCGGTGCATAAGGTTGCAATTTTAGTTAGCAGCGTCATGAGATCTGACGAACGGCCCCTAACTCTTGCCCTAAGCATGCTTCTGCATTAGTACAGTACTTACACTTACAAGCCAACTTATCTAAATTATGTTTTGCTAATAAACTCAGGAAAAGCGATAAGTAGCGCCTGCTTCAATGCTTCAACTGAAGGGTATCGCGCCGTCTACAATATATAGTTTCATGACTAGTCGTTAAAGAAGTGCTAACCTATTGGTGATAAGGCATGACTGGTTGCGGGCAGTGAACCAGGATAAATAAGTTGACTTGATCTACATTGATTTCCGCGGAGTGTTTGACAAGGCTGATCGTGCGATCCGCATGCAGAGGTTAAAACTGTGCGGCATGGGTGGCTCACTGCACCGGTAGATCAGCGACATGATTTTGGGGAGAGGGGCAGTCTAGAGTACATTTTGATGATCTTCAACATCAGTTTACCGAAGGCACAGTATCCTGGCATATCTGTTCCTGATCAACATTATCGAATTACCTTAGATTCTCCCATTGCCTTGTGTCTTATTTGCAGACGATCTGTGTGTTTGGGGATTGGTGGATGCTCAGACGAGAGCGGCGTGCTCCAGAGAGGACTTACTCATCTGTCCACCTGGTCTGCAGGTGTCGAGCTGCACCTCAGCCAAGTCGACTCTTTATACACGGGTCGGCGAAAGGGCGTTGACGGGCGTAAATTACTCTGGCTGGCCAACGACTGAATCGTGTATCTCCAGTGAATTATCTAGGCGTATTGTCCCACTGCTATTTATTGTCAAACAAAAAAGCCACCTGGAAACAGAATGTGTATGCGTTGCGCCCTCACAGACAGCTTCCGAATTCGGTTTGAAAAGATTGTCACTTGCCTTTTCCATCATAACAGTAACGCTTAAGTTCGACTAAGCATCCTATTTGCTGATCAGTTGCGGTACTTGTCAAAAACTGAAATCCGTTCAGCATGTCGAAAGCACGTTTATCCTCAATTTACGGGATAGGAGTTGTGAAGACTGATGCAGCAAAGCAGCGGTGTCCACCTGTTGGTTTCGATCAGACCAACTAATTACGAGCTGGATATTACATCTGCGTGACCTTATTATGCCGAAGCTGCTACTGCATGGTGTCAAATTCAAGAACCGCCTAGACGCCAACATAAAACGTGTGCAAATCCGTCAGTGGGAAGCTCCGTAATTGGAAACTATTAAAACTCTCGGGCATTTGCATGAAGAGAAGGTTATCAACCTCCTGAAGACACTTAGCACCTTACAGGTCAAAGCAGAATGACTATTGGGCTTGTGTCCCTATTTAATAAAAAATTACAATTAGTATCCGATCCCGTAAGGTTCGGCATAGACTTTTAGCGGAAAACCGCATTAACAAATAAAAACCTTACATCTTTGATCGTCACCTAAATGTATACCAAAGCACAAGGTCTTCTTAGTAAGACAACCGTCTTCGTACTAGTCAGATCTCATCGTCATATGGCACTGTCATGGTACTTGAAATGAGGCTGAGTGTCGAGATCACAGATGACGCTGTGGCAGACATGAGTCCCGTACGAAAATCTGACGCGGCAGACGCGGAACGACCTGACCGACCTGAATTGTATATCGTTATTATCAACGATCCAGAAACACAAGTTGTAGCTTTGCTTTATTGCTGCATGCAACAGACGTGGTGGTGTGTATTTACTGGCAATATTTGACCGCCCCCAGATACCCAAGCTCAAAATAGATCACCAAATATCCTCTGCAACGAAATGATTTTTGGCGCCATCGTATAGTCCAGTCTTTTTGAAGCGTACGTCAGCCATCAGGCAAACGAAATTTCAGCATCGCTAAGCAAACAATCTTAGGCTCTATTCCATGGGTAATCTTGACGTGCCGTTATGCAACATCGTCACCTCTTCAAGGGATTCAGAATAGGGGCCTGCTTATATATTTTAACCTTGTGCTCAGCAATTGGGAACTATTACTCGATACTGTAAAATTAGATGCACTAATTGGCTGTAGTTAACATGCTACCCAGTTCTTTATTTACAAATGCTACCCCTAGGACATTAAGGAGACAGATAAGGATGCAAATTACAGTATCCTGTACTAACTTGTTCCAGAAGCCCAACTACTTTTCCTAGCCGAGTACCTCCCGATTACTTCAGGAGAGTGTCTGTCACCCAGTTCATTCAGCTAGTGGCAAATGCGCCGAAAATCAAACTTTTTCACCTGAAGCAGTCGAAGTCCTTTCTGAGTGGTCGGACCTTATGTGATACGGCTTGATGTTATTATACAGCTTGCCCATGAGTTTTGGTGTCTACATAACTCATTTATACCCGTGCATCAAGAAGGTACTTGAGGGCCATAAGCAGCACCAATACGACTTAGCGATTAATTACAGTTAACTCCTAAAGTGCTGTACAGTTATGAACACAGGCTTCAGAAAGTGCAGCGCAGGATCTTATTTCTGTTTGCAACAGATAGTCGGGTTTTAACTTTAAAAGATGCGACAAACGCACTTTAGCAACTTTTGTTTTGCATTTTCCAAAGAAAATAGCACATTCAAACGCTAACATCACAGATCACACTGCCCCTAGGGTTAATTCTGCTATCGTTCACGGCAGCAAGGTTAATAAATAAACTATTGTTCTTGCTCGCGCACAATTCACCTGGCATGGTTGAAAAAGTCGGAAGGTATTAAGGCCAGGCGCCATAAACACAGCCGAAACATTACATCGTTTCTCAACTATAAATGTACGTAATGCAACTTCTAAAAACGTGGAGAAATGCAGTAAGCCCACTAATTTAAGAGATTGGGATCTGGCGGAATCCTCGAATTGCTTTTCAGTGTGCTATACAAAATAACGCTGAATATTCTAAAACAGGCGCTCATGGAATATCTTGAGAGCAACAACCTCATCTTTACACAGCAGCACAAATTCCACAAACATTTGGTCATTCGCCACAAACACTGCTAGCCGACGTAAGCTTGGTAGTATTAGTCGATGTTGGACTAAGAGTCGACATCGTTTACTTACTCTTCGCTAAAGCATAACATAGCCTGTTGCAGAACACTATCCCTCACAAGCTTGGAATATATCCAATCGTTGACCATGTGTTTCGATGGATAGGCAAGTTCCCATTCAACGGCAGCAGAATGTACTATTACGCAGCTCTAATTAAAGTCCAGTGTAGGGATCCCTAAGTATCGGCGAATGCATCACGTTTATTTTATATATTCATCAACGATTTTACCAGTGTTCTCTAATCGGACGTTCTAATATTTGCTCTTGATATCGAAATCGGGCAAAAATAAAGGGCCGTGGACGATCACGCGACACTGCCGAGTTCTAGACAAACCTACTTGTTGTCATCCCAAAACCAGCTTAAGTCCAACATAGTAGGATGCGAAATTTTTATCATACACCATTAGCTTGCCAAACAAAACTGACTTGAAAACCATCGGTAACAACCTGCTTATCAGGGAAGCGACCTAAGTGTAACCGTGCTGGATGACCTCGGCTGCCCGTAACAGGTGAAAAACCTTCATGAATAGCTAATGAGAACTTTGGATTATCGCGGAAGACTCTTGGAAATTTCAGGTTATCTTCTTTTCCGCAAACACTGAACTCCTATATGTGGCCTTATGTGGAAAACACCATCCAAGCTTGGCGCGCTTGACGCAAGCACGACTCTGTGATACTTAAATTATTACAACGTACAGCAACCGTTACCGTTAAGGAGATTTTTGCTTACCCTACATGGTGTCAGCAAAGAAACCTCTTCTTTGTATACATGATATTGACCAACCTAAATAATGCCTGCCGTGACTTGTTGCGACTTCGTAGCAGTACAAACCTGAAAGGGCACTAACTCACACTATCTACGCAAACCTTTCAACATGACTGTCAGCAAACTTGTTCCACCTTACTTGTCTCTCAAACATGGGAGACCATGTTAAATCACACCATTTTCCCTTAATAAAGTGTGTCTAAGTTTGATTCCAAAAAGACTGTATTTTAAAATAAGCTCATTGGGTTAGTAACAAAAACGCGGTATGCTTCCAAACATCTGGCGAAAACATCTGAATACAAACATAGCGGAATGATTGTTTTCGTTTGTGTATTTGCTTTACTTTAGCAATATGCAAAATGTATTAGGAAGACGTAAACTGATTGGTGTTGATTTTACATTTTTACTATAGTTCCAGCTTGCTACTAAGGAGAAAATACGAAAGGCATTCATGATTCAATTTGCCCACTTTTACCTTGTTGTTTAGCATAGTATTTATATATATTGTCTTCGCTAAATACATATTTTACTGTATTAGTGTATATTATGTAAAGGTTTAGAAATCGACTAATAGAGTAATTGCTAACTAAGCGAGATAATGTAGCAAGCAAACTGATGGAAAAATGCATATGCATTATAGATCCTTTCAACGTAAGACATTTGCAGCTTTCGACGCAGTGTTGTTTGCATTTGCAATAACGGTGTTACATAGAGCATTCAAGCAGAAGTGTTACTCACAACGTACCTCTTATTATCTCTGAATATTCTGCAAACGTTAAGAATTTGACGTCGTTAACCTCGGTTAAAACAAGAGCCGGTGTATTCATGAAATATTAACAACACTCGAACGATGGCAAATAAACCAAACGCTAAACACAGTACATGCATTTATCTGCGTGTGCGGATACATGGGTTTTTATGGTGTGTCATGTAACAATAGTTTAGCCGGTGCCAGTAAATAGCAGACTCAGTTTGAGCAAAATTTCCCTACTTACGTAGGTGTGTGAACATCATATTCCATTTAGCAAATGCTGAGCTTTTAGTCCAAGATGCATACATAAGTTAAGTAGAATAAATGTCTACACGGCGTAGCTGCTTTCTTAAGTAGAATGGGTGACCTGCATCTGGTTCTATCGTCAACAATCTAGAAGCGGCCTAAAGTTTTACCCCAATTTCCCCAGTCCTCTTAGTTGAACAGAACTACGGTTACGATCATGTTGCATTCTCACGCATACTTCCGTTCCCGCCCTTATATGCTTGTTGTTGTCTAGCTCGAAGTCGCGGTTTGATCTACTTGACCACGGTCGCAATTCCACGTTTCTAATTCACGTTGGATTGATCACTGCGTTATATATGTCTGCTGTCACAAACTGCATTCCCTCGTTTAACCTAGGGTTTCCGCATCTATCGCAATACTCACGTTCTCCCTTTATGGGTCACTCAACATGTACACACTTGTTCGCAAATTACCCTGTTTAATTACTTCTGTTCCATCATGTGTTTCTTCAGCCACTTCTCTTTCCTCGTTCAGGTTAGACTACGCCAATGTCCTATGACTTTTTTCAACGTACTCTTGTTAGCCTTATAAAAGTACACCGCTGACTGCTTTTGCTTACATGGTTCATTAGCAAAACGAACATGCATTGGGTGGTGTCGCAGAAGTTGGCCTTAATATATTGTGTTCTCTTTGTAAAAACGGATATTTGCTACTATCGTAAGGGGTAACTGTGTAGAACTATGATGTCTAGGATGTTGTTGAGGCATATTTCAAGCATATTATTTGATTGTTTGTAAATAATTCGGTACTTCAAGTTAGACTATGAGTTATCGATTGTTTGGCGGTCTTATGTCAGTGCCGTCTTTTCGTCGCTTATTGAAAAATATGCAAGGTTGCGGAGCTGTTCCCGTGCGTTGTCCAATTATCCTAAATGCCTTTCATACTTGAGTCAATCGTGTAGATCATTTTCCTGGCAATGTAGCCAATCATCATAAACGGCTATATCGTTTCCCTTAATATAATATAACCAGATGTTTTCATTCGCAAAGCGTTATTTTTCACCTCAGTAGATAAAGGCTACTGCTACCCAAGCGAAACTCCCAGAACTCCCCAGAACGGGTTGTACTAAATTTGATATCTTTTGGGTTTGTTTATTTGTTATCGGTCAGCATATCACTGAGTTGTTTTCGGATAATTTTGGTGAAACCTGGTATTGGCTACATCAATTAGGTTAGCTCCTTGTAGTTGCTCTGTCAAATAAACTCTGAATCTGCCCTTTTACATAACATGTTCAGCGTTTCCATTTTATTTTATCTCATTAAAGAAACCCAGGCAAAAATAAACATATACTTTATTCAGCAAAAATCCAAAGAAAACAACCCACACTCCAGTAACCGCCAATCGCAATGGTACGGTGACAATCTGTTATTAAACTGAGCCTTTTAATGCGATGTTGCCACGACATGTAACAATACGTTATGCAATGTAGTCAGTAATCCAACAAGATAACTTGCCATTGCAAATGACAGACCAACCTAAAATAGATCAACTCGCATTGGTTATGCACCTAACGTTAACTTAAATACACTGACAAATAGTATGCTGTTTACAAAAGCGAGGAACATCACACAAATGTATGCGAAATGCAGATTTCAGGCATTTAACTTTTTTACGACAGATATAATGGCATAGATTTTATTCAGTGAAACATATAGACAATATCGTGGTCTAACTTCCCCCGGCTCCGTGGATTTAAACTGCTTTCCCAGTGATGATAAGTTTGAAATTGAAATTAATATGTGTATATCTATTTTAAATAAACTGATCGTTTTCTATTTAGGAAACAATAATATTTGCCAACTCAGATAATGTAAAAGCCAAATAAAGTGAAACGGAGCAGATCTGATTAAGGGGGTGGCATCTGAATTATAATAGTGCTGATTATTCTGCCTATCCTGCGATCCATGGAATGTTTCGTTATTCTTCGTAGCTTTGCGGAGCTAGGCAGACAATTTACTTATGATCAGAAAAGTATATTTTCTGACATGTCTAAATCACTCTACATTTGGTCGAATTACTCAACGATCAGCGGCACTGTACGTAAGCCGAATTACTGCCTTGTTTAATTTCCTCGGTCAGTATATGCAATGGCTGTATTTTGTTACATAGCATAGCAAGCGGATGCCTCCTATAGAAGCGTCACAGGTAGGTTGGTGCCCTCATATTGCTTGCTATCTACCACTGAAGAAATGAGTAGGCTTAATCAGTTGTCTTTCTAAACTCACTAGTTACACCCGTAAAACAGTTAAAATAGGCTCAAGTTAAATAGGTAGCAGTAGTAAATATGCATCCACAACGCTTTGCTAAAAAGCAATTCACATTACCAAAATACATCAGCGCTTTTAATGCAATACTAACTATGAACTGATTTCTTGTATTTCATGTTAAGCAAATCTTGTTTTTACAATTGCCGAGAAAAGTTTTGATGGAAAAACCTGCTCAGTTTCAGCGTCTTCTCCATAATTACTTGTCGAATTTTTCCTATGTGTTTAATGGCATTTGATAGATTAATTTAGGTTTCGTTGCGTTTAGAATAAATTGTTTTATATTGTCAAAGAAGATTTAAATGTGGCGCAAAATCTAAGATAAAGGACTTTCGTTTTTGTAAACGGGTCACTGAGCAATATAATCTGTGGCAACAGAATGAAAAATTAGAGATACCAGTGGTTTGTTTTTTAATTTTCTTCAAATACTTCAGATTCGGTATATTGCTTTACTCAGGTTCATTAAGAGTTACCACATGCACTACTTCAAATGATTTAAGAAATGTCCAAAAATGACGGTTGCAAACATTGTACGCAAGCGGTTGAAAGGAAATAAAATATGCTGCAGACAGTTGCCAGCCCTGTTCTTGACTTTGACATGAAGATACTACGACAAGAAGTGTATTCTTAAACATGTTATTTGATCAGTTGTTGAGACATTTTTGCTTGGTGTAACATGACTGTCTAAAATATTGCTCGAGGCTATGACATTTGTAATGCGCATTTAGGTTTCAATAGGAAGGTGCCGTAATAATCAAGTATTCCTCCGGCGACTATGATTTCCTTGTTAAATTGTATGTACTTACAAACTTCAGAAAACAGTTATTTAGTAGAAATATGAATATCACATCCATCAATTATTTGTTCTGGGCATATCTCAAATGCATTGGTTACGTATGTCAGAAATAATATTTGTGGACAGATTTCCTGGTGCGGGAATTTCGGATAATTTGTATCGCATGGTAACCCTTTGACTAACACTTAAAGAAATATTCATTGCAAGTTTTGAGAGACAGCTTCTTAGTTTACCTTCATGAGATAAATTACATTAATCTAATAAGAAGTTGAAAACTATTGACGAAATTCATTGCCGCTACCACAGAAACATCTTTTATTTGCTTAGATGCAGTTGAATGATGTTAGCAACACTGAAAGTGCGAAAAAGGTAAATAACCTAGCTACAAAATATTGCATGAAAAGAATACATGCCTAATAAAATCGAATATCTGCATGTTTAACTCAGTCACAAACATTTTTTGCATAAATGGGAAAAGGGGTTGCATACTTAACAGTGGACCGACAATTGGGTTTGGAGCAGGTCTCAGAACATTAACTGAAAGCAAATGTTAGAACGTGTGGTTGTAATATTTAACCAATAGTGTGCAGTTTCACTTTGGACAGATATATTTAATTTCGGAGACTGAAAACTCGGCAGCTGGAATGTTACGTAACGCCGTTGTCTGATTTCGAATAGTAATGAGGTTTTCAAAAGCGCTCATGAAGGTTCGATTTTACAGCTTAGGTTCCCTGCAAAACGTAAAATTCCAAGACTAGCGAAATTTGGCATCGCAAAACCTCGGTTTGGAAAATTTGAAGCCAGCGTCCTAGAGCAGATATCAATCCATTTTCCATAAAGCCGGCTGTGTTTAATTGATAGTAACTCAATGAACTGGGAAACAAAATGGATCTACTTCAGATTGTTCCTGTTCGGCTTTGTTGTCTAGCAGAACTGAGCCATTGTCACATAGGTTCATAATGAAAAAATTAACATTTGATGAAAATTATTCTACTGAACAACTTAACTATTTTCACAAGAGTTAAGTCCGAAACCTCTAAAGGATAACTATCCAGTATTACGGGAAAAGGCAAAATCTGACGGATGAAAGTGTTTAAGCAACATACACGGAGATATTAAGCCTCTGAGTTGGGTAGGATTTGCAGACTAAAGTTAGGTAAATAAATATCATACGTTTATGACAATTACGCCATATATTCAGATGTATTAGTGTTGTTAATATAGCTCATGTTAAACAAGTAAAGTTATATCAAGTACGTTAATTCCAGCACATTAAATATGCACATTGATTTTCCATTTATAATTAAATGTTAAAATACTGATAAACTAACCTTGCATGTTGTGTCGGTTTGCTTTATTAACCAAGGAAGCGTGAGATATCAACGAGCTCTTGAACTTAGGAGACGAGCGGATCAATTTTTCCTTATGTATCGATAACAACTTACCAATAGGTTTGATTTTCTCTTGTACTTTTATTCAATCAAATTAACAAAATTAAAAGGTTATTGCTACGGTAGACTGAATTGAAGTTGGTAGTTTGTATAGTGCTAAATTACAAATATCCGACTGGTTTCGACTGCTAGGCGCAACTAACGAGTCACTTAAAACTAAACCACCGCTTAATGCATTTTGCAGCTGAGGTAGCTATCTGACTGAGTCCAACTGCAGTGGTGTTTTACAATTTCTCTCCTTACATTTTCTCAGTTATGTAATCAGTGCTTTCAGTTCCTCCTTAAGGAAACTGTATTTCTCCCAAACCTATGAAGAAGGTTCATAACGCTTTTAATTTGATTGCGACTAGGTCAACACGCAAATCTTGCTTACTGTTCATTGAGTGACTAATCACAAATGGGCAGCGATTACAATAGATGGGCACAGTAACTGGGATAATATTGGCCGATTTGGACTTTGTCACTTTATAAGCTGTATAATTTAGCAGCTTTCTTGTCTCCGTATTCGACATAAAATGCGCTATAGACAATCTGGAAAGACATGTGGATGAACAGTACTTTATTAAAGTGGAAATTAGAAGCGTTATGGATTCAATTTACTGAGAAAAGATACGGTGAGTTAGCCTTGACAGATTCCATACACGCCTAGTACTCATGAGCAGCTACCCAATTTTCATCCAAAATGGCGCAGATAACACAATATGAAGTTTTTATAAAATGAAACATGGTAACGTCGGATGAATATTATATGTTACAGACCTAGATTAATGTATTTAACGACGCCGTTCTAGCTCGTGTACACTCATGAGGTGAAGATTGCATTAATGCACCCAAACTAGGGACTTTGGTATAAAAACTAAAACATTAACTTAAGGGGTTGGAGTCACAGACAAAATTCGTCATAGCGCAAAAAAGTATAGATTCAGGATAAATTTAAGTGTTCGCTGTGTGACTGAAATACGACGCAAAAATCTGGACAGCATTGAGATGTATATGTTGATAAAATCAGCGCAATTGACAATTGCGGCAGCGTTAGAAGCAAAGAATTACTAAGTGTTGCTAGCTAACAACATTGTACTGGCCGGGGATGCCACATCATCCCGTTATTTTCCACGAATCAAGGGCAAAGCTGACTTCCAGCAATGTACGTATTCCCATTGCATTCAGATGAATGAAGACCAGAATACAGTCCAGGGTTAAGAATACTTTTCGGTAAACTCTCTTCAGCCCCACACGTTTACACAACACTGATTGTGTGCGATACGCGTCAAACCGGCCTGGGATTGATTTCTAAGGTCCTTGAGCGGCCAAGATCGATGAATAAATGCGGCTATAGATGGCAAGAAAAGTGCATCAATGGAAACTTAATACACAAGCCTCAGCAGCCTAAAATAAATAGGTAAGTTCACGAAGGGAATTAATTAACCATGTCAGTCGGCCACGGTAGTACTATCGGCCGTCTGAATCGTTTACGTACACATAATTCCGGCTTGAGATAGTGGATGTAAATAGCCTAGGCAATAGACATGATTTGTTTTCGGAGGCCTTGCGAGAAGCGTTTAGGTAGTGAGTAGAAGAGTTGAACGTGATTCTCAGATGCAGTATGGCCACTTTGGAGAAGGTGCGACATGATTGAGCTATCTAAAGGACCTCATTTCGCCTCTGTAAAATCACGCAGAATGTGCTCGCGAATCCTCTAGGATAAACATTTCGTTTTGCGACCCACGTGTCGTGCACCAAAGGAGCACGAGTACTGATGAACGAGCATTGAACGGGTCAAAGTTGGCAGACTATATTTCAAAGGTTTTGCAAACAATGGATTCTTAATCAAACAGTTCTCCGGTGCATAATAAACCCTAAACACTGTAATATTTTTGGGAAGAAAATAGGTCATGAAGCATTAGAATTGCATTTTGAAAGCCTAATGGTACAAACTAATGACTTGTTTCCAACGTCTAGTGTTGTTGTGAACCTAAAATCCAGTCTAGTGTATAGTTGTGATGATTTTGTTAAGGCCAAACCATCTGGTAATGGTTTTATTTCAATGGAGCAAATTCATCCAATTAAAGATTTACCGTTAAACAACGAATTAATTATCCCTAGACTAAACAAGATATCTGGCATAATGCTGCTATATAGGGTGGATATAATCTTTAAAATATAGCTCATCTTCAGCGATGAACGTAAGTTCCAGTAGCTTACGGCCGGAAATGACAACACAGGGAAGTTAGAGAAACAGTTGATGGGCTGCCTCAGTCGAATAATGCAAGCCAAGCGCATCACATAGAGCGAATTCGAAAAGTTGAAGCCATCAGATGGACACCCAGCAAGATTATATGGCCTTCTTAAAGTTAAAACACAGTGTTGCAAAGTGATCTCTTTTCGGCAGTTCACATCAGGCAAATACAACTACAGGACTGAAAAATGCATTAGTAAACTGGTGTAAGCAACAATGAGGACGGATGGGGCGATTTGAACAGTTTTGGCATGTTCATTTGATGCTCGAATCGATTTAATCAAGTGACATCGTGATCGGGCTAACCACCAGCTAAATAACTTGTGTAAACAGAAAAGGCAAAATTACTAACCAAATAAAATTAGTTAATTACACAAATAAATAGCACCCGGTTAAGCGAGATACCCCGGGGAACCTTATCATCTGGGCCATGACAAAGTCAAGGGTTGCACAAGCACCCTATGCTTGAATAACTCTGGTTGTGCTATCCGGATCGCGATGGCTTCGGCTGTCTGCAGGTGTTTCCTTAGCCCTTTCGCGTATCGCCTCGGTACGGCGTTATAGAGTTTGAAAGCAGCTTTGGTCAAAATCTGATGCCCACTAAGAATCAGATGTTCCATAATTGAGCTGTTGATACTTCTGCGCATGCCTCTCCGCAATGACCCTGGACAATGTTCAGCCATTCGTACCGACAGACGCCTGGTTGTTTGTAAATTCTTGCATGACACAATTCAGAAGGACAAGACGGCAGACGATGAAGCAAAGATTACAAAGATCTTGAAAGAATTAAAGCAAATGAATTTGATAACCGAGATTCAATTGCAGCAGTTAACTCCTGTTGGCTCCCAACCTCCTCGGCTCTACGGTTTGCCTAAAGTTCACAAGCCACAAGTCCCTCTACGTCCAATAATTGACATGTCAGCGTCGGCACACCACTTATTTGCGAAACGGATTGGGCAGTTATTGGAACCCGTACTTAAGAAACTCTCTATTCATTCCTTGAAGGATTCGTTCGAATTCGTTGATAAAGTTAAAGAGTTGAAATTAAATGGTAAACAAATGTTTTCCTTTGATGTAGAATCTTTTTTCACAAATGTCCTACTGTTTCAAACGGTTAATTGCATCTGTATATAACGGAAAGGAACCTAAACATTGATATTCCGGTGCCTAAGCTCAAGGAGTTAATCTTGCGGTGTACCTTTTAAAAGACAGTTCCTGTTTGACGGAATCTATTACAGGCAAATCGATGGCGTGGCCATGGGGTCCCCCCTTGGACCTCTTCTTACCAACATCTTTCTTGCAAAGCTTGAGCGTGGTCCAATCCAAACGGTTTTTGCCTCATTTGATTCTTATTGGAGGTATATGGATGACATTTTCATCATCTGTGATTCGCACATTTATGTCAACCATTTGCTCGACCAGTTCAACAATGCACACCCCTTAATAAAATTAACTAGTGAAATTGAGAATGAAGGTAAGCTAGCTTTTCTGAACGTTTTGTTGAGGAGGCGCGAGGACGGATCACTGGAGCGGAGAGTCTTCGCAAAGCTACATGGGTAGGACAGTACACACACTTTTCGAGCTTTGTCCCTCTGAGGTACAAACGCAACTTAGTACGTTGCTTGAATTACCGGGCCACCAAAATTTGTAGTCCCGAAACTCTCGAGGATGAGAAGGACCGAATTGTGAAAACACTTCTTGCGAAGGGATACCCAGAGCCTTTCATCAAAAAGCACGCCATGACTCGTGAGCGTGATAAGCCCGTATCAACGGTTCCGAAGAAGAATGTGTTTCTCACTGTTCCTTTTAAGGGAGATATCGCGTTCGATCTCCTGAACAGAAGACTTTTTAATGCCGTAGCAAGAACCTACCCGGCCGCCCAACCGCACGTAGTTGCAGAGACCGCTCCCTTCATAGCTCAACGTCTTAAAGACAGACTGCCAGTGTCGTCCGAATCTTACATTGTTTACCAGTTTGCTTGCACCTGTGGTGCAAAGTACCTCGGGCATACGACCACGCGTCTGTCGGTACGGATGGCTGAACATTGTCCAGGGTCATTGCGGAGAGGCATGCGCAGAAGTATCAACAGCTCGATTATGGAACATCTGATTCTTAGTGGGCATCAGATTTTGACCAAAGCTGCTTTCAAACTCTATTACGCCGTACCGAGGCGATACCTGAAAGGGCTTAGGAAACTCCTCCTGCAGACAGCCGAAGCCATCGCGATCCGGCTAACACAACCAGAGCTATGCAAGCATAGGGTGCTCGTGCAACCCTTGACTTTGTCATGGCCCAGATGATAAGGTTCCCCGGAGTATCTCGCTTAACCGGGTGCTATTTATTTGTGTAATTAACTAATTTTATTTGGTTAGTAATTTTGCCTTTTCTGTTTACACAAGTTATTTAGCTGGCGGTTAGCCCGATCACGATGTCACTTGATTAAATCGATTCGAGCATCAAATGAACATGCCAAAACTGTTCAAATCGCCCCATCCGTCCTCATTGTTGCTTACACCAGTTTACTAATGCATTTTTCAGTCCTGTAGTTGTATTTGCCTGATGTGAACTGCCGAAAAGAGATCACTTTGCAACACTGTGTTTTAATTTTCCATGCACTTTATTTACGAACTTCCTAAAGTTCACATTGAAGGCGCTGTAATGCGTCCAATCTTGGATCTGTTGGATTCTCCCCAGTATTTTTTGGCCCAATGAATGATGATTAATTGTAACCGTTACTCTATATGGTTTGCACTTACTGCGTGATAGACTCGTTGTAATTCATTAAGAAGATAGCTAGACTCAACTGTACTAACAAACTGAGGATACCTTTTATGCCCAGTCGATGTTTACAAACATTCCACTGCTCGAAACGGTGGATTACGTGTATAAGTTGACACGGCAACTACAAATATATGTTCCTTCCCCGGAGAATTGGATAAAGAGTATACTATTTCGTTGCACGTTAAAATTCAGTTCACGTTCAAATGATGAATGAACGCAACTTTTGCGTCACGGATTCACGTATGTCAGCTGTGTATTTTTCTCTTCGGAGGCTTATTTTCGTAGATTTTTAGTAATTAAGTTTTAGTGAGCTCAAGGTTACTTACAGTGGTAACATTTACATTATTTTCTGTTTAAGGCAGGCTATTTATTGTCCTTATTTGAGGAAACCGCTGGCATAAATATTCCGCGATTGCAAAGCTTGCGCAATGCCTCAACACATATCATGTTTGCATTTTTTTCTTTTTGTGACATAATGACCTTGCTATAAATGATTAAGTATATTTGTATATGCATGATTATATTATGACTTGGTTAATAGGAAAAGGTGCATTAAATGTTGAAGCAAACTATTTACCTTTTTGTGCAAGTGCTCCGACTGCAAATTGCCAAAAATATAGTGTTACAAAATATGATTGTGTTGAAAAACTTGTTAACACATTTTGATGTTGAATAAGGAGTATTTATTCTGTTCTTTTGACCTTACTCTAAAATGCTTGTTTAGGATGTCTAGTTTAGTACTGGAAAGTACTTAGGCCCTCACACACAAAATTTCATGGCAAGTAAGGCAAAACTCCTTTAATAAAATGGTAATTGTGTGATACTTTGAAAATAAGTTCAAACGCTTCGCAGACATTTTCTTTTGAATGATTTTTACACCATAAGTAATGTTCATTATTGCAACCAAAATAGAACACCCACATATGCGTCTACTGTACATCTTTCTGTGAAGGCATGGTACCTACATTTGATAGTTTATTTAAATGGAGAAGCCCATGGAAACCCGATATGAACTATGAATTATATTATATCATATGATATGAACTATGAATGGAATACCCGATCATCGTTTCCTAATTACTGCATCATACAAGATAGAACAGGAACACATCTAGATCTCGAAGCTTTGGCAGCCCACCAGTAATAATAATTAAAAAGGAACAACGAATTTCTGCGAGTTATCAAGCGTTGTTTAACAAGTCCCTTTGGATGGTTTGTGGGGATATGGAAATAATGTTGCTGTTAATGCTAATAATAATAAAGGCAGTAGGATAGTTAATAACTCAAATATAAAAATAAGGACTTATGATTTCCTCCCACATAGTGCTACAATCCGCTTAGATTCACAGCACCCAGAATTAACATTAAATAAATCCGTGGTAAAATACAGGTGTGAGATGGAGACGAAGGGTTTACTGACAAGTGTTAGTCGATAAGTGCCTCATCTAACCGACTTTTAAATTTTGTTATCTTCGGTGCGAAGACGACCGATTTGATACAGCATTCCACGGTTGGCAGTCACTAATGGAAAAGAAACTTCTGCGGCACTCCAGATGGCTATAAAGTTTTTCGTGTTTCATTGAGTGGTCGCTGAATTTTTATTGATGCTGAGTCGCAGGAAACGACAGCACAAAGATGTGGGTTTCGCCGAATCAAATGTGCATTCATCAGGTTGATTTTTAGCCTGAGATAGCTCCGACTGAAAATTACCAGTCGTTTCAACCTTTACTGGTATGATTGCACATTCCAAATATGTTCTTCGATTGTTGATATTGTGGCTGCACTAGGGTTTTAATGTCGAGTTTCATCTATGGATGCCCGGCATAAATTGCATGTTCGACATGCCAGCGAAGATACACACTAAGCAATTTTACAAAAATGGACTTGTTTTTTTTTCAAACGCCTGTCGCAGCAGCCCGACTTGTTAGTTTCCAGTCCTCGAAGCCTTTTCTGATTGCCTGGAGCAAAACACTTCATTTTGAACCAGGACACTCAAGTCACGTTCTACAGTTGATTATTGCAGCACATTTGTTCCGAGCCGGTAAGAGTAACTGCTGTGATGTCCGATGGAAAGAAATTTGCATTTAAACACTTTCAAATGCTGTAAGTTATAAGTTGACTATTTATATACCGTATCTAGGTCACCTTGAATAAGATGCAGGTCGAAGTTTATTTGGATCCTGGACATATTTTGATATCGTCTGCAAATCTCAGAAGTTTGAAGCCATTTCTTGCACAAGGTCATTAATAAACGTCAAAAACGATCGTGGACGTAGAAGTGAGCTTTCTTGCACAATACCCTTGACTTGTATTTGTCCGTTAAATTGTTCTGAACCCTGAGCATTAAGTCATATTAAGCTAGAAATTTGGCAGTCCAGCTTAAAAGAGGATCACTGATCCTAGTAATGCTGGAACATGGACGGTAGTATCCGATGGTCTAGACGATCGCAGCTTTCAAAGAGTCACAGTAAATCACAACAGCGTCTACCCCGAAATCATCTAACTCCGTCCAAGTCCTGCGAACGAGTAGTAACTTCGCTATTCATGACCACTGTCAACGGAATCTTTGTTGCTCAGATGTGATGGTGTTACACTTTCCCAGATAACACACCAGTGCGTCGGCAGCAATAGATTTCATGAGCTTTGAGAGCTTAAGAAGAAAGGATAATGTGTGGTAGTTACTGGACTCAGTTCTGCTTTCATATAAGTGAATCGGGGTTATTGTCCCGAGCTTTCAGATTCCGGGAACTTGATTCCCGTCTAAACAGTGATAAAAATCTGATTGCTGCTACTTTCAGTGTATCTGGACGAATGGTATCGATACCCGACGAGCCGTGTTTGCGTAGCGACATCAGCTTTTGCAACAACGCTTCTACGGTTAAAGTGATGTGAATTAATCCTGGCAAATATACGACAAATTTGATAGATCGCTTGGGGGCATGTCCCTCTGAAACGTGAGGACCTATTACATTTACAGAGCGTTTGTTGCTTTACAGGTATCTTTGTTGGACCAAAAAGCCGTCGTTTGTGGTTGAAATCATTGTTTCACCTTTCGTAGGCTACTAACCTGTTGGCGCAGCAGCTTGTGGTTAGCACTGAAAGTTTCTACGATGTTCTCCTGATATGCAACGTTCTTTTTTATTAGCATTTTTGTGAGATGGTTACGTTTGGCTACGTACTTGTTCCAGGTTGCTGGGGCTTTAGTTTCTTTGTACACTCGCCATGCTGCGTTTCGCATCGTCATCCATTTCCGAGTTCCGCTCCTAACGAAAAATACTGCTGTCTACTTATTGCAAACTTTTATCTCTAAAGCCTCTGCAATCAGCTGACTGAATTTGTTGTCAAATTCGAGCCAGACAACTTCCGGGGGTTCTTTGTCAATAAACGATTAAGTTGTAGCGCTGACTAGTTAATGTAACAGAATGCAGCTTGTGTTGGTTCGCACAGTCTCATTGTTCTTATTCCGATATTCTGCATAGCAGGCGAAGTTGAAACGGATGACTGCGTGGTCACTGCGACCCAACGGGCAATGTAAGACTAATACATAAATCTTATGCTCCTCGGTGTACGCAATTGAACCAATACAGATGGCCTGTTACCTGTTTTGAACCATGTTGGCAAAGCAATGCAGTTATACAGAGGAACAATAATTACGAGATTTTGTAGATCGCATTTGAATGTTTCTTCGATCGTGGCGAGGGAAGTATCCTAGTGAGAGATAGCGCTGCAGTATTACACAACGTAGGTGTTGCACAAATTGATATGCCACTCTTCTAAATCATACATTCTGGCCACTTGAACATCTATAAAAGGAGGTGCAGGAACGCCATAAATGAAGGTAGGTATAGGCGATTTTGCTTGTTGTATCCCACCTCGGTGTTCTGTTTTGATTGTCGCGAGCTGTAAGGGACATCAGGATAGATGCGTATCCCACCGGATCCGTGTCTTAGCGCGCTTGATGAGGGCAAAACGTTTTCTACATCGGTAGATGACGCAAGTTGTACTCGGGTAAGTTCGGCCTCTCTATAGTGTGGCGATTATGGATGACAAATAATTCGTACTGGGTTTATGGGTTCGGCTTTGACAATCATCAGCATGCACAAGACGTTCCATAGGTTTTGTCACCTGAAACTTAACTCACTATATGATGGCGGTGGATTTGGGGATATTTTGTATATAGCAGTCCGGGCACTACATTGGTTGGATCCTTTATCGCTGAACTAAAAGTGATGGTAACGTTTTTCCTGGCATACTGACAAGTTTTGATGGTTTACTGTTTGTTCCTCTATTCGCATAAATTGTGTTTAGAACAGAGCAGGATGCAAAGGCTGTCTCCTTACGGAACTTTTCAGCCATTTCTGCATACGTAACTGACGTTACGGGAGCTTGAGTTTGAAAATGGTTATTTGTGACACAGGTAATGTGGGTTGGTGTTCAGATGGTCCCATTGTTTTAATGCTTTTATTTAGGTCTAGTGAAATTTATTAACCAGAAGCTTGGTGTGTTGCCTGGTTTTGCTGTTTTGAGTACTGGTTGTCTCCTGTAGTTATGGTCAGTTTTGTCTGGCTTTCTACCAGACGTAAAAAATACAACGAAATATATATGTGGCTGCTTGCGGTTCAGGAGAAGCAGATAACGCAGAATTCCATTGCTTAGAAGCAGTTACGTTTTGCTGGTGCCTATTCGCCTCCCCTGAAGAAATCTTATCATTGGTTATCTGCTCGGCTTCTGCGGTTAACTTTTTGCAATACTGGATTAGGATAGGCATGCACTTAACGATTATGTTGGTCAATCCCGCAGTACAGAACGACAGCGCATTTTGTGAGCTATTTCGCTCGCATACTTGTTATTGCGGCACGTTTACACATTTTGGATGATACCATTCCAAACAGCGCGAGCTATCCAAGCTTATTTTAACTGATTTATAACATTCTCCTAAACCACGCATACATTTGGTTGATGCCTTTCGGATTCACATTTCTGCTATTTAACGTGCTGCCGTTACCTAACGTAGTGGGCTGGTTGCCTTTCTGTAATTTTCTAGCTTTAAGAGCGGCGCACATCGTTCAGACGCGCGTTTTGATTTCAGGGTCGAATGGGCGGTCGGAGTAGTTGCGGTGCGTGTGATAGGTTATGCAAGCGCACTGGCTGACTATTTCACTATGAATGACGAATAACTGGAACTTGCTGATTGAAACTGAACCCAGCGCTAAACACAGATTAAGAGTTAACAAATTATTTTATAGTAGTTTTAAGAAATGTAGGAGTGGAGTAAGCCTATGCTTTTCGGAGCATTCGAGAATTATGTATCGAATGGTATCACACAGAAATGTAATGGACTCAATGTGATTGAGTCATCCTCTTGCGCTTAATCACGAGTGACAGTAAAAAATCTTAGTGATGGCCCAGACTTGAATGGTAGAGGATAGTTCCACGTATGATGGGTCGCAGTGTGGTGCTGGTAAATCTAATTCGAATTAATCTACAGTGACAAAGCTGCGGGCAGATGGAGAGAGCATCGAGAGGGATAGTCCAAAGGAATCAGTAGTACGCAGGTTACGCGCGTGTGTGAATGAACTTGTCCAATCACAGCAGTTTAAATAACCGAAATGGAAGCTACGTAGTCCGAGATGATGTAGTCCTGAACAGCAGATCAGTATTGCAGGAGCTAATACTAATTAACGGATATCAACCCCCACGCAACTCATAGGCTTGATGGGTATAAAAGCAGGTAGGTGCTATCATTCAGATTCTAGAACATCCGTGAAGAAGCAAACATTGACCTTGAAAGTTATGTATTAAAAATTCCTGCAAACCATTAGTTTGTCTCGATTTACTATCCAACCTGAGACCGACAGAAGCCCAACTAATGTTCGACTGATGCGTTAGAAGATATGTCACGAAACTACCATCACTGACGCATTTGTTCTCTTTTAATCACAGATGAAATTGTGTGGTTAGTGTGTTACGCTTACTGTTAAGTGTGAAATAATTATTAGCTATAAATATAATACGCTAATTTTGCCAGAACTTGTGATGTTAAGATTCTACTTTATTTGCTGAAATTTAGAAAGTGAATATCTATGAGGTTGACAAAAAGCCTTTAGGTACCGTGTTATGTACCTATTAATCTTTATTTCTCATTCTTGAGATTCTAACTTTGAAAAAATGGAAATACCATATGAAGTACCAACAACAAATAAGAAAGTCTGCGGTAGTCGCGATATTACTATTTGATCAGCCAACCAATTCCTTCAAGTAAGAAAAGGGTAGCAAACACGCCAAGGTAGTACCCTTGTCAAGTTCTTCGTTTAACACAGGCATGCTGAACCTGTGCCTTAAATGTCTTTGTAGGCAATTCTTCTTTAATATATAAAGGTCCTGTTCGAAATTACAAGATGTCTCCATCAAAATATAACTTTTGGTGGCTCACAGTAGCTTCAAAATTTGCCACTGAAATTCATTTTCCGTCAAAGTGCTAAGTCCAAATGTTAAATGTTTAAGTTCATTATCTACATGTTTTGACATTTTTTGTGTAAATTCGGTAGTTTCTGTAAGGAAAGGATTATTTTGTCAGACATTTGCTCAAAGATTGGCTAAACCTTTGAGTGCTTCGTTTGCGAGTTCCAACTGATAATTCGCTTGCAGTCGGTAGAAACTCACCAGCATCAATAGAATCATTGTCTGAAATTTACAAAGATTTATTTAAGTTTAGTCGTTCAAGTTTGTATCAAGAGTATATAAAGATTCATGATAATGCGTAAATGCTGTGTGCTTGTTATTCAAAAATTAGGAAATAAGTCCCAAGCACTGCTATAACCAAACGATAAAAAAGACAAATTATAAAAACATTAATGTGTTGCTAAGTATTTCGTAGCGGCTGTTGTGCAAATTTAATGTGACGCTCAGTATCTATGTGGACAATGATTCACATGGGATAAAATCTTATCAATTCCATCGCTAGGACCTTGACTGATAAAGAACAAAGATGTCGGGTATCTTACGTCGGAAATAAAAAGGCTGTCCCTAAAGTTTCTCTAATTCTCCCATAAGCTTTGAGACGCAACTAAACTGCAAAATATACTTAAAAATACTATAATATTGTCGGCCAGTGAATAATGAATCCATATTTGGTGATATTTGCTTCAATAGGAACCTGATTACTTAGTTCAGCCATACAGTATATTAGGTGGCATTTGCTCAGTGAAACAAAAGTTATTGCCATCTTGAGTGCTGCGATACAGGAACAATGACATCAAGATATCCATTCATTTTGAATGCCACAATTTCATGAATGATGCTTCAGTGCTTACTGGACATATACCGCTGGTTCCCCTGCAGTTCATTCTACCAATTTTTATATCAACCTTGTTAAATCTTCTGCAGAACAAAAACCATCTGGTGAGCATTTGCTTACAATGATTCGTCATCCGACCATTACAATCATATGGAGGCTAGAAAGAGAAATTGACCCAGTTAGTTCAAAGCGACTTAATCACGTGAAGGTCTGTCACAGTTCAGAAAACGAATTAGGTCTTAGAGGGCTAGCTGTTTGCTAACGCGTCTGACCCAAGGTAGACTGCCTTAGGTCAGACGCGGCAGCAAACAACTAACCCTCTAAGACCTAATACGTTTTCTCAACTCTGACATAGACCTTCACGTGATTAAGTCGCCTTGAACTAACTGGGTTGATTTCTCATTCTCGCCTCTATATGATGGTAATGGTCTGATGATGAATCATTGAAAGCAACTGCTCATCAGGTGATCTTTAGTTCTAGAGATTTAAATGGGAATTTTCAATTTACTTAAATCTTCTGCAGTCTAAATATATGTCCCAGAAAACAGCATTCAATGTCCATTATATTCCATTAATATATGGTAGTATTTGTGAAGTCCAAAAAGAATTTTGATGTATCCCCAAACTGCATTGTTTGCATGAGGATACGGTATCTCTGTTCCCTAATTATTCTGCCCATTTTCATTGCTTTACTGTGTCCATACAAGTGAATACCATATTGTATGTTTATTCCTTCTACGGAATCACTGACATATTTTTGAAATTTCATGGTCATTCATTAGATTATGTTACTGTGATACCGTTTGCTCTGTCACTACTGGCGTCCTATTGAGCTTACTGTTTTATTGAAGTATTTTGACCGAAAGAAGACGAAACAAGGTTGTGTTGGAGACTCATCTGTTTACCATTTGGACTTCATCTGCTATGAAGTCAAAATACTGGTCAGGGTTTAAAGGAATTGCTTCGCTCTCTAAATCCTTGCAGTGCACCAACTGCGATGGGTAGACCCACATAACTTGCTGTGGAGTCGGGTATGAGTAGTACAAATTTCACCTGCGATCCAACGTTCCCAGCATAGGTTTATTTGAGTTCTGTGCCGCGGTATGGTAAACAACAGATGATGTCTTGACGGACTACCTGCGCTCAGCCCGCTCACCTCTCCTGCTCAAGCTGAGATAAACATCGCTGCAGTCTCGCTACCAACTATTTACCTTATCTCATGTGCTTCTGGCGCAGCTACCCCAAAGGGTAAGCGTAGTCGAACACCGTCCACCGCATCTACAAAGACGCCGGCGGATGCTGACCAGAGAGAACAGCCTAAGATCAAAACGTACGCAGAGGTGGTGAAGGGAAATGTCCGAAATACCGAACGTAAAAGCAAGGCAGGAATTAGGCTAAAATCCAAGATATCATCTCAATCGCAGTTGCATTTGATTCTCGATAAAGTTTGTCAACTGGAGAAACTGCTTAAGGATGGACCGCCTGATCTGAAAGCCGACGATCTATGGGAAAGCCAAATCGCTATCTCGTGACCGCTGCCTTATCATCGTGAATTCAGCCGGGTCCACAATGGCCACCCCAGCTGAAGGTATCGTAGATGACCAGGAGCTCCTACAACGGATGTTCTCTTTATTGTTCGACGAAGGAGAACATGAAATCAACATAGTTTCAGCTTTCCACTTCAACAAGAATCAGGAGGACTCTTCAAGCATTTCTTCAATTAAAATGTTATGTCAAAATAATGCCGAGGTCTGTCGCATTCTTCGATGAGCTCCGCATCTTAAAGGTGAAACAATTTATGTATTGCGAGGGCTTTCCCCGGAGGATCAAGTAAAAATGAAACAAACGGTTGACGAACTCAGATCCCGCCGAAACAGCGGTGAGACAGATTTACATATTGTGGATTTTTGCTTAGTGCAAAATCTTACCAAAATTTCGCTGGAGGCCAATTTTGTCCCACCCAGGCGTTAGAGGAGAAGAACGGATTGCACACAGTTTCCGCTAATGTGCGCAGTATTCGAAACAAACCTGATGAAATTCAACTTTTTGACTCAGCGAATCATTCTGACATGATGGCTTTCACATAGACCTGGTTGTCCGCGGATATCCTGGATTCGGTGATGCAGATTCCCGGGTATCATCTCTGCCGGGCTGACCGCCAAGGAGGGAGATCTGGTGGCGCTGTGATTCTGTACTGGAATGCGAACCACAGTGCTCATCTAGTTGATGCTACTTGTAATGGTAATGCGAGTTTCGAAACCCTGTGGTACCGAGTTCATGATGGATGCAGATCTCTGTTGGTCGGTTTTGTCTACAGAGCTCCATTGGGTTCAGGAGCTCGGCGGCTGGATTCCATTAAAAGGCATGGTGGGGGAAATGACTGTGCATTATTGGGAGACTTCAATACCCCAAGTGCCGACTGGTATTTGCTGCATTGTGCTGCTTCTTCAAACTTTTTTGCTGCAGACGTTTTGGAAACCGTTCTTTAGTGTAACTTATTTTAAAATGTTACTGTGCCTACCCGTATATTTGTTGGACAAACCTCCCATATTCGCAATATTGTGCTTTCGCCGGCGCAATTAGATGTCACAGACATTATCACTCTTCCGCCTATTGCTAATAGTGATCACCGTATGGTTTCATTCCACTGCAATCGACGCCTCACTCTTCACAACCAAGATAATTTCCGCAGAAATTTCTAGCGTGCTGAAACCAATCCGCCTGCAAGCGGCCGCTAGCGCTGTGGACTGGAATATCCCTCTACCTTCGTACTCAGATTAGCAGTGGAAACTTTTTTACTTCAAGATGACTTTCCTTGTTGATCAGATTGTTCCAGTTTGCAAAAAGAGTACGTTTACCAGAGGCCCTCCATGGATAGACCGAGGATTGAGGTGCTTAATTTCCAAAAGACATAAATTATGGGACCGATTCATGCTCACTCACTGCGCGCTTGACTGTTCGGAGTACAAATTGATCAGAAATGACTGCATCTTAAAGAAGGTCAGAAACGGCATCAGTTTGGACGCAGTTTGGCTGTGCAATCCAGGAAGACACCGAAAGCACTATACTCTTACTTGAAAAGAAGTACAAAAGCTAGCAGTGGCATTCCTGTCTTGTTCTCCGCAGAGCAGGGTAGTTTACTTGACGACGATGTGACGAAAGCCAGTGTACTGGCCCTGCATTATCCATCTGTTTACTCGATAGAGACGCCGTTACCCGGTGACACTGCACCAATCCACCAATCTTCGTTGCAGCACATAGAAATGAGTGTGGCTGACGTTGCGAAATCCTTGGTGAATTAGATCCGAACTCATCGCCGGGTCCTGATGGGCAGCACTCGCTGTTCCTCAAGACCATGACGGACTACATTGCTGTTACCGTCTGTCAGATATTTCGTCACTACCTGGAAGCTGGACGACTCCCGGTTGCTTGGAAATTGAGGACTGTTAAACCTATATACAAAGGAGGGGATGGTCAAGATACTGCAAGCTATAAACCTGTCTGTCTAATGTCCGTACTGTGCAAGTTAATGGAAATATTCTCAAGCGTGCCCCGCAGCTGGACTTCGAGAACCTAAACATGATCTCTTGTGCCCAGCATGCCTTTCGGCGGGCACGCATATGTACTTCGAACTTGCTTTTTGCTAGGGAGAACTGCGCGAGGTCCTTAGACGCTGGGAAACGATATGACTTGGTTGTTGTTGAATTCAGCAGGGCGTCTGACAAGATCCCCCATGAAAGGCTTTCTTTAAACTCTGAGGTACCTGTGTCTTTTAGAATGCACATTCCTGGATCGGAGATTTTTTGGATGGCCGGACCATGCGCGTTAAAATAAATGAAGCCTACTCCGCTTCTGTGCTCATAACTAGCAATTTTCAGAAAGGGTCGGTACTTGGTCCAGAACCGTTCAAGCTATTCATAAATGACCTTCCATCGGAGCTTCAGAAAGATTGCCTGATTTACGCCGATGACACAAAGCTGTGGATGGAAGTACTTGTCTCGAGGATACTGACAGAGAGCAGGTATCATTGGACATGCTACACGACTGGTCCGTCAACTTACAGTTGCCCATAAATCGTGAAAAATGCTGTTCTCCCAATGGGCGCCCGTCAACCGTTCGGGATATACTATATTGGTCGGGTGTTACTAAGAACCATCATTCTTGAGAAAGATATCGATGTGCTTGTCTCACATGATTTAGGGACCACAGAAAACACACTGCGGCGAGTTGCCACTGCCAACAGGATGCCCCATGCCATACGGAGAGCCTTCCCTCGACTGATTCCGGAAATATTCAGAATCCTGGTCACTTCTTATGTGTGCCCTACCCGCCATCTTTCCTATTACCAGGTTTGAGTGTGGCATGATTGAGAAGGTCCAGTGGCGTG